CCACTACATTGCCCTTCATATAGCTAGGCAGAGCGTATATCCACACCAGCAAAATGTATCCACTGCCTGCTGGTCTTCCTATACCAAAGGCAAGTGGCTTTGCTTCTCCTCTGCAGATACAGCCCACTAGCTACCAACCAACAAGAGAAACTTGAGTCCATATGGAACAATAAAAAATAAAGAAATAAGAGAACTGAGCGTAAGTGAGAGCTGAAAACAGAAATGAAACATTCTGTGCAGACAAGGGACCTCCTATCAAAAAAATAAACAAAGAAATAACAAAAGAACGGGAACACCAGTGAATCAAATACAAGGGAATCCAGATCAACAGGACTAAGGCAGGGGGGTGTAAACCAAACTTTTTATTTCACTGAGGAGACCACATACAGAAACAATAATGGAAGGGCAGGGCCAATCACAGAGGTGTACGCCTCATAAGTTCAGTTTGAATTAGCAAAATCAATACAAAATGTGAGGCTTGAAAAACTTGAAAATGCTTAAGCAAAAGAAAGCCTACATCATTATTTCTATAGGGTTGTAGTTATTTAGTTAGAACAGCAATCATTCATTAAAACAGAAAGACTTCAGATATAGATATAATAAGAAACAATTAAGACAAGAAGGTCTATGCAAGCTTAAGATATGTATAAAATGATAATATGGCTTTTTTTCTTATCAATATTGATTAGAAGAAATGTTTTCACTTTAAAAACTGTGCTTACTTACAATGAATCTAAGTGAATATTAATTGAAACTATATAAAATTTAAAGTACAATGTAAGACAAGCAAAAGTATTATTTGTGGACATATTTCAGCCAATACTTTTCTTATTTGCCAGGGCCAGTAATCAAAAATGGACCTCGGGTAGCCCCGCATTAGGCCCATGGGCCGTAGTTTTGGGACACGCTGGCTAAGGCTACACCCTATGCTGTGTTTACCCGCAAGCGCGAAAGCGATGTTGCTTACTAGTGATCGCTTAAGTTAGGCAGAGTTGTTTAACAAAATCATTTGTTCATAAGTAACGGCCTACGCTCAACAATGGCACCATGTCAGCTGGTATTTCACACTGTTACATCAGCCACCTGCAAAACACTGATAAGTAACGGAGCCAAGACATGGGTAAGATTGTGAGGAGGAAGGAGGAGGAAGGAGGAAGGAGAGGAAGGAGGGGAGGGAGGAGGAGGAGGAGGAGGATGATGATGATGATGAGGAGGTTCGTGTAGTGCATTATCGCGCTGCTGTGTGGCGGTCTAGAGAGAGACAAAAGAGATGAAAGATTGCGAGTCCCAGCGGGAAAACAAACTCCTGCTGCTGCTGACCACAGCAACATTCCTGAGGGGAAGCTGGAAATAGCAGACATGTCTCACATGGATACAGTTGGCCAGTATGACGCAGAAATGTATGTTGGTGGGGACTGCTACAGATGTTTGGTGGTGGTATTCAGTTATAATTTTAAAAGTTGAGTAAAGTTTACAGTTCATCAACACCTGTTTTTCGGACGACCTGCCCCTCTGTGACTTTGCAGTGATAGGCAATAAGCCATCTGATGTGACAGCTATGTGTTAAAGGTGAACAGATAGAGAAAGTTAAGGATTTCCCCATATTTGTTTGAAAAGGAAATCACATTCCAGTCAGCTGGCATTCGTATCGTTTCGCAGGAATAGAAACAGAATGTTACACTTAACTGTGTCAAAACCCCCACAAACAAAAATAAAATTACCAAATAAATAAACACCAATACACGTCACATCAATCCCTTTTAAACTAATTAATCATTTGTCTTGCAATACCCTGATAGGCTTGGATAATAAAGCATGGTGTACTGGACACAGTTGGCCAACATCAAAACCCTCTTTTTTAGCCAGCACATTCAGAAAGGCCAGAGTGTACAGTACGTTCTTGATGTGTTACTCAAGCATACTTTATCAAGAGGAATGATTGCTTGACGCAGCCTCTAGTATCCTCCAGGTCTTCTTGATGCATGGACCCTGCCAAAGTTAACTGTGCCATAGCTGTGCTGCTTTAACACCCACATGGTTTTGGTCCTGTCCCACACTCACAGCCAAAGCTTGCAGGCCTTTGGACAAAACTCAACACTGAGCTAAAGCCGACCCCCTATCCCATCACAATATGGCATACATGCCTGATCCCACTGAGAATTTACGAGTGAGCTGCTCCCACACCATGCCTCCTTTCCTCGCCAAATCTAACCCAAACACTGCCCTCCCTCCCTTAATTTCCACCTCTGAGCCAGAGGAAATTAACAGACCACACATCAATTTAGCCTACTCTGAAACTCAAGAAGGGCACACATATGCACTGAAAAAAAGCTAATTACAAGTATACACATACATCGAGATGGCGACAGAACTAAATGGAGTGTCTGTGACAGGGATTAGCACACCACCAGGACAGCAACACAAATCTGATGCATTGTTTGGCCTTTCTTTCCTCTTTATCTTCCCTGTTTCCTTCACCCTGTCTCTGAAAAGAACAGGAAATAGAAGGGAGCGCTCCTTAGATGAGCGATGTGTCAGTGTAATTAAATTCCTGACCAGACCAGCTCAGCAGTGGAAACCCTGTGGTCAAATACAATCTGTTGGAGGAAAGATAAACTCAGTCCGGAAGAAATTATTCTCTAACTTTGCATATAAACTGCTAGCTAGACTTTTCATCATAGCAATTCTGCAACTGTATTAAAGGCTACTTACAGTATAATAACAAATACAAAATTATATTCTTACTACTGCAGCCTGTTATAGCCAGGTCTCCCTTTAAAAAGAGACTATTAATCCTATTAGGAATCTCCTGGTTAAATAAATAAAAAGTAACAATGGAAAAAGAAGTGTGCCTTTTACAAGACATTTTGCAACTTCAAAACTGAAAAAAGAAGAAGAAATAAAGTAGGCTCAACCATATGATTTCTTAAGGGGACACACTTCTGTAACTTAAAAACAGGGGTGGAAGAAGTGCTCAGATCTTGTACTTAATGACAATAAAGTTGCAGCTAGTTTTTATGACTTTGTATGCTGCATGGCTCTGTTGAATTTTACTCCAGGTATAACTAAAGTCTTATTCAGGTGTTGATTATATTTCACAAAATGTATCCAAATCTGTAAAGTAACTTAAGACATTACATAACTGTAGTTAAAGTACACAATTCAACTCTGAATTGTAGTGGGGTAGAGGTACGAGGTAGTAAAAACACTCAAGTAAAAGTACCTCATAATTGTACTTGAGTACAGTACGTACTTACGTAAATATGTAGTTACTTTACACCACTGGCTTAATATAACCTCACGTATTGTCCAAAACGAATTCCAAAATATATGTAGGCCTAAATTAAACCAAAACATGTATTTAAGGATGTTTATTACTGTAAGTAAGAAGTAGGTTACAAGCTGGAAATCGGGTTGGCTAAAAATGTTTGGGTTTGTTTTGTTAAACTGGGGAGGAAGATGTTCCTCAGTGGTTGGAAAAGTGCAACTGCATTACTGAAAAGAAAACCACAATGAAGAAACAAGACGCATGTCTCACCACAACAGACACGATTGAGCAGTTCACAGTTTCCACCATGGACTGAACACATCTGTACAGACATTCAACGATGACGTTATTTGTGATAGCAGGTATACTGGCTGGTTTAGCTTAGCCTCATCTCTCTTTGTCTCCCAGCGGCTGTAACGTTACTACAGTGAAGTTATTCAATCATGTCGGTGATGGAAATAATAATAATGTTACAATGTTAATGAATTACGGTGGTTGACAGGGGTCACGGGAATCAACGCGACATTAAATAATCGCTGCCTCGCGCTAGCTGACGATGAGAGGCAGCATACATTCATACAAACAGTAAACAAGGCTGGAGCGATTCAATAACGTGTCATTGTGTGGGTTACAACAATAAAACAGCAGTCATTCAGAGAAGTGCTCCTTACCTGCGATATGCAACACGGGGTACACATTTTGCTTGGAGACAATCAATAAAATCCGTTTTAAGAGTAGAAGACGAGCTGCTTTCTGCTTCCTCTCCACATGAAATCACCGCCACCAGCACACGGGAAACAACGCTCCTGTCCCCGCTGTCTCTCCTCCTCCTCCCCCTCCCTAATGCTTCCTGTCTCTCCTCCCACTCCCATCACCAACAAAAAGCCGGAACAAAGCTGAAAGCCACAGAGGGCTTCAAGAAGTGGTTGTAAACAGGCCATGAAAAATCTATGACACACTTTAGCTATATGCTAACATTAGGAGGTCAAAGCCAGATGTCACATCAATTACTTGCATTAAAAACACTGCCGAGGACCCTACACATTACAAGACCATCATGGAGTATTAATGTATAGTTAGTAGAACAATTGTATAAGAGCTTTACACTATTATTAGGGCAGGGGTGATAGTTAAATATAATTAAAAACATACCAATGTCCTAAAGCAGCCTACATATAAAGCTATCTGGATCGCATTATAATAATAATAATAATAATTCTACAATAAATAGGAGGCCTAGGCCTACTACTTTCACTGTACAGTATTTTATTGTATTCTGTTTATTTTGATTGTATTTACATGTATAGACTCCTGCATGTACTTCTCTGCAACATTTAGCTTATTGCTGTTATTAATTTGTTGACATATAGTTTACTTCATCTGCATTACTTTCACATTGGTCTTCATGATAATGGTGCATTACTTTATTGTACTCTGTTTTTCTTGTACTATTTATATATATATATATATATATAAATAGTGCAAGAAGAAACAGTAAGTATATATACTTAAGATTTTCCTTGGCCTATCTACATTGTACCTACTGTGCCTTTGGATCTTGAATCTTTGAATCCTTAATCCCCACGTAATGTTCATTACTTCACAACTACAGATAATGGATGGTTCTTTTCTAATAATCAACATAAGTCTTGCTATGATGATAGTAGTTGCAAGAATTAAAGTAAAAATAACTCCTAAAGCTGTAATAACCACCAGTATGAAAGATAATTTGCATTGTTACAACCTATATGATGTCATTCTGTCTCATTTTATCTATTTATCTATATCATTTTCCAATAACTTGCACTATTTCACTTTTTTAAACTATTTTTCTTTTTGGATTTACTGTTTACTTGCACTATATTTGTCTGTTTATCTGTTTTATTGTGTTACACTGTTGGAGGAGCCTGTGACCTAAGATTTTCATCATCATAACTACACTCTATGTTCGTATAACAAATAAAAACCTTGAACCTTCCCAAGCAGACATGGTTTATGCAAAGGCTTTTGATTAACGAGGAAAATGTTTATGTGTGTTTGGCAATTTGTTATGATATTGTGTCGTTCATTCAAGTGCCCACATGGAAAACCCCCTTCAAATACTGTTGTGAAAAAACATAAACATAACTTCTCTCATGTGATTATAATTAAAGAACTTTGCCTACTGTCCTAGACTCTATGGAGAAAACATGCTGTTCAAGTTTTTACAATCTTTCAGAAAGGAAGAACAGTTGACTAAAGAGGTTGTCCATAAATCCTAATATGATGATCAATAATTCATGAAATGTCCATTTTTACCTCTACGCTAATCACAATAAGTCTTCAGGGGAGACGTGAAAGCCTGGCTATTTCTAATGCTAATGGCAACATTACATTACCCTAGAGTTTTGCCTTTTGGTTGAGTTCTACTTTAGATAAGCCTCCAAACTTATTCATTTCAAAGTCTTAATCATCCCACTGCGGTCCGTCCCACATGCTTATCTCGCGAATTCAGAAATATGTGCAAGAATGACTTTCTCCCACAATCCCTGTGCTCATGTTCAGTCCCAGCATGTGGGCGACAGTGTGAGTGTGTTGGTTCCAACAGAGGCTCTCCTGGCCAATGAATCGGCCTCGGCATGAGCTGATAAGGCTTTTACTGTTACTCTCTATGAATGTGCAGCTATCGGCCAAACCTGTCATCTGACCCAGACAGCCAACACACACACACACACACACACACACACACACACACACACACACACACACACACACACACACACACACACACACACACACACACACACACACACACACACACACACACACACACACAGTCACTCACCGCCACAGTCATTGGGCCTTTCTCATTTCACTAATTTCCCCTCCTTGACTCCTCGAATCCTCGGTCCTCCGCTAGTGACCCGGAAATGGATTTCAGCGCGCCATGTTGAAGGACATCTCATTTCTCTAAGTGCAATTCGAGGACCGAGGATCGAGCATCGAGGAGGCTCTCTGGAGGAGCTATAATCGGGGATACACTGATGGGTCCTCCGCGGATGTATTTCTGGCAACAGTGATGTTTGAAAGAGTCGTGACGAACGGCCGGACCTATCTCAGCCAATGACAGCTCTGAAACATCACTGTTGCCAGAAATACATCCGCGGAGGACCCATCAGTGTATCNGGCCAGAACAATTCACTGCATTGTACGCAAGTACCATTGTCTTGAAGCGGATTCTAGCAGTTACTGGAAGCCAGTGAAGGGAGCGGGGGTGTGGTGTGGGATAATTTAGGAGTTTGTGTACATAGAGAAGAGGAAGGGACCGAGGACAGAGCCCTGAGGGACCCCTGTAGATAATTGACAAGGGTCGGACTCGGACCCTCTCCAAGTTACCCTGTAGGTGCGGTCTTTGAGGTATGAGGTGAGGAGGGAAAAGTGCAGTGCCTGAAACTACAAGTTCTTGGAGAGTGCGAAGGAGGATCTGATGATTCACCGTGTCGAATGCAGCAGAGAGGTCCAAAAGGATGATGACAGGGGGAGGCTGATTTAGCCGTGTGCAGTTCCTCAGTGACAGCAAGGAGAGCAGTTTCTGTGGAGTGACCTGCCTTGAAACCAGACTGGTGCGGATCCAGAAGGTTGTTCTGATGGAGATAACAGGAGAGTTGTTTAAAGACAGCGCGTTCAAGTGTTTTAGACAGGAACAGGAGGAGAGAGACAGGCCTGTAGTTTATAACATCAGATGGATTGAGAGTGGGTTTCTTTAGGAGAGGGTTTACTCTTGCCTCCTTGAGTCTGTTTGGCAAATGACCAGAAGTTAGAGAAGTATTGACGAGATGGGTGAGAAACGGTAGAATATCAGGAGCGATAGTCTGAAGGAGGTTTGAGGGTCAATAATCAGGTCCCAATGTATTCTTGCAAGAAGGAGTTAAATCACATACAGAAATATGTTTCAGCTCACACACATGAGGTATGCTGCTGAAAGGATAAGAAAACAATCACATCATGCTTATATAGTCTTCACAGCATCCAATAACATAGTCGTAAATCGGTTTAGCGCCAGCTCGACGCATACAAGTTTTCTTTTTACGATAGTCGGATGTTACTCTTTGCCCTCCAGAGAGTAAAAAATAAGTGTATGTCTTCTTTTCTGTGGGTAAACAAATGAATCAAGTCTTGGCTCCTCCAGTCTCGACAGGGGGCAGCTGCAAGGTCATGGACAGTTCCAACAGTATAAGATAACAGTGGCACACAGTATTAAGCCCATTTTCCCAACAGTATAATACAGAATAAATAGGAATATATTCTAGACCGTTATTGTCATTTTGAAATACTATGAATAAAAACCAAAACCTTATGGCAGTGTCTGCAACAATGTCGGGCTGATTTTTAAAAGGAGTTGGACATATTTAAAGCATCCTACTCTAACCCTTACCAGCCAATCTTACATATAACATGTTGTTAATTTTAGCCGAGGGAACCACTCGTTTTCTCAGGGTTACGCACACTACAGTCATAAATCTAGAATACCACTTGTTTGAACCTAGCAATTCAAAGGGTGTTGGCTGCACATTAAACAGTAGTTAGAAATTCAGAGTATAGCAAAATAGAACACGCATACACACATACACACACACACACACACACACACACACACACACACACACACACACACACACACACACACACACACACAGATTAGTGGATCGTGGTTGGGTATGTTTTACTGAAGGAGGACCTTGA